AAGGTGGAGAAGGAGACCGAAGCAGACTTCAAATCTCGAAACAAATTGTATGATTGCTTAACGGTGTATGAGTTTGAGAAGCAATTTCGCGCGGCCTACACAAATGCGAAATTTAAAGAAGTTTAAGTAGAATTGAAGCGACTACTGTATTGTCATGCGACTCTTGTGAAGGAAGAGGGATCCATTTGTACTTATCATGTCAAGGAAGCTGTGCTTGTGGGTGAGAAAATGAAGAAAGTTGAGTTTCTTGTTTACTTTAATTCAACTGAATTTGAAATGCAATGTGTGTGTCGGTGGTTTGAGTTTAAGGGGATCATGTATGCCCATTCCCTTAGTGTGCTCATTGAGAGGTGCATATATGAGGTTCCAGATAAGTACATTATGCCGAGATGGAGAAAAAATTTGGAAAGAGGGTACACATACATTCTAACGACATACACGAAATCCGAGGCTGCCCTCAATGCAAAGGTACATGATAACTACCACAAGACATTGGATGAAATTATAGAAATTGCTTCCAACGATGATGGTAAACACAAAGCCATTCAACTTGAGTTGAGAGAAATCAAAGAAAGAATAAGAAAAGATGAATTGGTTGTGCGAGTAATGTGCCACATTCTAGTAGTACTGTCCCATCTTGTAGTAATAATGTGCCACCTTCTAGTACTACTCGTAAGGTGCTTAGTCCTTTGGTTGCTCGCTGAAGAGGCCATCCATGTACAAAACGGAAGGTGAGCAAGGTGGATGAAATAGTGAATCGGTTGAAGGGAAAGAATAAAAAGGCACCAAAAGTCCAAGTACATTTTTTATTTTCTGCTTGTATGTAAATTTCAGAATTTATTTTTTCAAACTTTTTCACCAATATGTGTTACTATAGGGTCGTAAGATGGGTCAATGTGAACCTTGTAAGTTGAATTTCGGTTGTACGGACAGCATGGAAGACAATACATACGATCGGGTATGTGTTTCATGGTCCACTACTATTTTTTGTATGGTATTTATTACATTATGTTTGAACTTATTAATGATATTTTGTTATTATGTATCATAAGGTGCTGCAAGCTCAATCCTACTATTTTCCTTATATGGATGGAACACAAGAGAGTGCATTGCAAATGGTGGACAAAATAGAAAGCTCATCTTTCAGTGAATCAGGAATGGCGAATACAGATGGTTCAACTTTTGTTTTGTACTATGGTATTTATCACTTTCATTTGTAAACTTGGGATAGTTACTTTTGTGGACTTTCGTTTTTGAATAGATTTTGATTCTGAACAGATTATAATTGATTCAACAAATTATGTTTGTAAACTTATGTACTTCACAGATTCTGCACAGGTTATATTTGATTCTAAACAGATCTGAACAAATTCTGTCAAGTTTTTGAACATATTTTCATTCTGAACAGATTATAATTGATTCAACAGATTATGTTTGTAAACTTATGTTTGAACAGATTCTACACAGGTTATATTTGATTCTGAACAGATCTAAACAGATTCTGTCAAGTTTTTGAACATATTTTGATTCTGAACAGATTATAATTGATTCAACAGATTATGTTTGATTCTGAACAGGTTCTGTCAAGTTCTGTATATTTTGAACAGGTTCTGCATATTTTGAATAGGTTATATGTTGAACAGGTTATGATAAATATGTGAACAGGTTATATTTTGAACAGGTTATGATAAATCTGTGACAGGTTACATTTTGAACAGGTTATATGATGAATCTGTGAAGTTCTTTTTCCAGCAAAGCACCTCTTCTTATTACGACCAAAGCAGTCCAGAATAAAGCAAAATTACAAGTTGATTGTTTGAAGCAGAATGAAGCAGGTAACCCTGTCGGGTGTAGCAGCCACTTGGAGAATGATGAAGCAAAATGAAGTGAAGCAGAACTGAAGCAGAATGACAAGCAGAATGAAGCAGAATGAAGTGCTTCATTGTTTGATTGTTTAGCTGTTGCCTGGCCTTTTGATTTTTTTGTTGATCCAAAATCTTATTTTAGCGTTTTCAAGAAAATGGTCTGAATGGAACATTTGGAGGAAGACTGCTCTGTATATTGTATATGGTATCTCTGAAGGAACATTAGGTCACTACTACATTTGGGTAGTCTTTACCATGTTAACATTCAACATTATGGTGAGTTCAAATCAATACAATTTCTTTTTTTTAAGAATGATCGTGTTTGGAGTTGACCAACAGTAGTAAATTCCATGCATAACATTTAGACTCATTTTGAATGTTATGTTAAATAAAAAGCATGAATTGCTTCTTTGCGAGTCCACCAGGGCAAATCTAAATGTTCTGGAATGCTTTTAGTCATGCTTATTTTTCTTTTTGATGGCTGTGTATGGATTCTTGGACACAAGTAGGTTCATATATGTGTATACAATTACATGTGGATGTTAGTCATCTTAACTCTTTTATAATGCCATGATGTGTGTGTAGAATACTTGATTCTGGTTCATGATGTTGAAAAATGAAACTCTTTAATATTGTTTGGAACTTATTTTTTCCTTCTGGCGTCAGGATTCTGACAAATAAAGCAATTGAGGCCAATGATGGGAAGCCCCTACCTTTATATCATAAGGCTTTGTGTGGCTTAACTACTGGAGCAATTTGAGCATCAGTTGGTAGTCCAGTAGATTTAGCACTCATTCGTATGCAGGCAGATGCTACCTGAGGTAACCAAGGACATATTCAATTCTTAGAATACAGATGCAGAAGCAAGGTACGTCAAACTACTGGTCCACCTGTAAATTCCTATGTGAGAATGCAGCCCTAACATCGGACTAGAAAGGCCATTACAGGTTTATAGTGAAAAAGTATTTCCAGCACTACAGATCAACAAATAACACAACCTATCAACAATAATTGAAAACAGAAGTCCATTCAAGTCATCAAGTCCATGCAAGTCCATTCAATCCATAAGTACATCCATCAAATCCATTCAATCCATAAGTACATCCATCAAATTCCCCAACAGCTATCAACTCAGTAATTTACATTATAAAATAGAAAACAATACAAAATACAATGACATAAAGCACGACATTCAATTTCTTCTAAATCCTTCGAAGCCTTCTAGCATGCTCCTAAAATTCATTATCCATCTCATAAACCCTTGTGCTTAGATCGTTAAATTCTTCGCTTCTTATAGATTTACGAGGTGCAGCATTGGAGATCACATCATCGTCGTCGTCATCTGCGAACTTGAAGTAATTGCAGTGTTCCTCACTAATCTACAATGCATGACAATCAGTTAATCAAATCAGGCTAATAAATTTGCAAACAAATTTCAATACTGCTTACATATTTTGATGGACACACAAAGTACACACGTCCTTTATTTCCATTCTGATTGGTTCGGACAATGTGCATATCAGCTGTTCTCCCACAATCACACAATCTTGGTTTCAATCTTATGTTGCTATTATTACTAGAGGAAGAAGCCATTTTGTAATCTGCATACAAAATGGAAAATAGAGACATGATACATACATAGCTATTATTGCTACTGTTGATACATACATACCTACTGTAGGTTCCAAGAAATAGGGAATTTTTTCCTAGGTAAGAAGAAATATTGTGTTCTTTCCTAGGTAGGTTCCAAGAAATAGGGAATTTTTTAAATCAAAATGCATATCTTCAACAACATGGAAATTTAAAACAATCATAAAGTATAAACCATGCTCTTTTATACAAACAGAATTTGATATTTGAAATCAGAGGCATATTTAATGTATTTACAGGCCCATTCATTCACTTTTATGGCTAAAATTTGAAACCTAAGGGAACTGATTTAATTCCCCTTGGCTCAATAAACTTCCATCACAACAGGTGACTTGATCAGCATAACTACATATGTAAATGCTCTAATTGATCAGCCCAGCACATACAGTATGCAACCATTGATTAGGTATCCTAAAGAGATAACCTAGATGAAAGCCCTGACATAAGAAAACATAATTTGATAACTATTCAAGCCTATCATGATAAACCAAAGGGAAAAGCACTAAAAATGAGTGACATTGCTCCCAAAACTTCCTTGGAATGAACATCCACAAGGCAAAAGAAAAGCTACAGCACCTAAAAACAATTGCAGACAAGTGAATCAACATAACAATCAAAAAATGAAGGCAAAACCCATAATGCCCAAACCCTAACAAACAATCATAACCCTAACAATCATTAATTGACAAATCATGTTCTACAAATTCAAGCCAAAACCAAAACCCTAAACGGAAAACATTTTTACAAATTCAAGCCAAAACTAAAACCCTAACACAAATTGCAAGAAAAATCCAAACACAAAAACACAAACCCTAGTTTTTTTGCGATTATGGGTTTACCTTTGCTTGTGGTACCTTTTTTTTCTGCTATTCGACACTGCTGAATCCACACCCGTTGCTGATGAGAGGATTTGGAAGAGATTAAGGGCTCTAGGAGAGAGTGAGTAAAGAGAGATGAGAGGATTTGAAAGAAGAGAGTGAGTAGAGAGAGAAGAGATTAAGGGCTCAAATGGAGTCAACTCTGGAAAAAAAAAATTCAAAATCAAAACGACGTTGTTTCATTAATTCAGGCGAATCAGGAGAAAGTTTTCGAACTATAAAACATTTTCCAACTAAAAATGCATACCTTTGGAGGTGATCGTTGTACACACTACCACAAAAGAATATATATAGGCCCTGTTTGGTGCAGCTTAAAAGCTGCTTATTTCAGCTTTCAGTTTAATTTAAGCTATTTTGATGTGTTTGGTTTAGCTTATAGCTTACAGCTTTTTGAAAGTCAGAAATCAGCTTATTCTTTGAGTGAGGCAAGAGATGCTTAATTTATAAGTCAGAAATCAACTTATATTCATAATTATAAGCTATAAGCTGTTTAAACATAAACTATAAACACTTTCCCACAACTCTACCAATCAAGGTCATAATCGTTTTTGACAAACATGTCTTGTACTTGACAGGAAATGTTTCTTCATTTTTTTCCCATTCTTGTTATCTTTTTTTTGTCCCTTCATTCGTTCATTCACTCTCTCTCTCTCTCTCTCTCTTTCTCTCTCTCTCTCTCTCACACACACACACACACACTGGCAGTTCTGATCAAGATAAATCGATAATAGATGGTTTCAAATCGTTGACGTAGTGATTGGATTGCAACGAATGAGAAAATCATTGTTTGAAATCGGTCCAAATCAACGGCCTCTCAGATCTTTTTCGTTTCGGTAGTGATGATCTTGTTCCAACGATTCAGGTAAATCATTTTTTAAAATTTTTCATTTAAGAATCATCATTGAATCTACATTTTCATGGATCTTTTTGTCTATGGTCCAACTAGGAGATGATGGTTGGTCCAACCCAGGTTAATCACAAAAGAATTTAGAGGTATCCTTCAATTGAAATGTACCATTCAAAGTCTACCTTAATAAACCTCTTAACTCTGAATATCTTTAAGTTTGATTTTTGGCAATTTTTGAATTTTCATTTGCAACTTTCTTTTTTCGAAATTTCTCGACTTTTTTTGGAGATTAGTCTAGAATTTGTTGATTTGTGAATTTATTTTTGGAAATTTTTCAACTGTCTGGAATTCGTTGATGTGTGAATAAATCTGAACAATGTTGTTGTGCTGGCAAGTTTAGTTATAACTAGATAGATAGATAATCAAATTTGACCCAAGGTATAACATTGGTACCCGATATATTTCTTCCGACCTTTTGGGGAAAGTATGTAGGGTTTGGTAGAGTTTTAGAATTATGATTTGAGAATTGAGTTGTATTTTGAGTTTGTGAGTTTTGAAATTATGATTTGAGCGTGGAAAATTTGTCTGGTTATGAGTTTTGAAAAAAGTTTTGAATTGAGTTTGAAATTTTTGATGTGATATATGATATTTGATTCAAAAACTTATAACTCATAACCAAACACACAACTTAAAATTCTATTCAAGGCTCATAAAAAAATTTAAAATAATTCCAAAAATATTTTTATTTAAAATATAAAAATAACAGGTATAAAAAAAAAAAATACTGTTCCGATCAACCGACCGGACGTCCGAGGGGACGTGCAGGAGGATGACCGGGTAGACGTGTTTGCAAAAGTGGGTATGAAATCAATTTTTAAAAACTACAAGCAAACACCATACTCAAACGAAGGGATGAAATTAAAATTAGAAAGTTCTACCAAACTTAGTTTCTCTTCCAAAATATAGAAACTCCTTTGGCTAATCATAGGAGAACAAAAACTTGTTGTTCATGCTACATAATAACAATAGCAACCCTTTATCTGTGTTTACTAGAGACGCTCCTAGTTGTAGTAGAAAATATGGTCAATGTGTTGGTTTGCTCACTCATCTACTTGATAGGTACGGACGAGAGACCACAACCTTAATTGACTTGTGTTGTGTGTGCCACCATCCTTTTTGTTTGTGATTGGAGACCATGTGTTAATTTGGGCATACAGCTTCCTTTTTTGTTGTAATTGTGTAAATCTTGGTCTGTAATATTTATATATTAGACTGCATTTAATTTTTGCATTTCATTTCCATGTGTATGGGATGTTGGATGTCAAGGTGAGAGTATGCCAAAGCATGTGTGAACTTGTTTGAATAAATAATTAAATGGGTGTTTGTGGCTTCAATTAGCACTTTCATGGAAAATAAAATAAAAAGGAATATTTTTGTGAAACAATAGAACTTCCATAAAAACAGTGGAGTTTAATCCCAGTTTCTCAATATATAAACTATCCCAGTCGTGGAGACCTTTTATACACACACACACACACAAAAACAAAAAGAAGAAGAAGAAGAAGAAAGAAGCATCTTTGATAAACCGACACTTGAATTGTATCATTAATGACTTTGGATTCGATTTTCAGAAAACTAAGTGCATGGATGGTAGTAAAAACATTTTTTGAGGCAAACGGTATTATTTTGAAGTTTATGGAAACAAAGAGGAAATGGTTTCAGAATTGAAATAACATAATTAGGGAGATTAAAAATGAGGATTTTTATTGAATAATCGTACTTAGGTTAATTAGTTTTCACCTAATTAATCTGTTAAAAACTAGTGCATGACAATTGCTCAGCTTGTTCCCAGATAGATGTAAGTTGATAAGGAGAGCACTTTCTCAGGCTATCACTTAGCTCAAAGGATGAGAAGTAATGGCAAGGCAAATGAGGGGGAACATCATTGATCTCGAACAGTTCTTTATTGTTGGGCAACCAGAGTCTAAGAAGACAATTGTTAAAGCGTCCACCTCCTCAGCAACATTTAGCTGAGTAGGATAGGAGGACTACTTCCTCTCCTATAAATATCTCGAAATAAAAGGTTGGTGAGAAATGTTGGAATTTTTCTGCCTATGTGATAAAACAATAAATACTTATTTAATAATTTATTTTTTATTCTTGGGAGCTATACAAATTTTATTAGTTGTCTACATTTGTGGATAGAAAATATGAAGGCAATGAGGTGTTTTATATTTTCTGTATTTGATTGCCGGCATTAGAAGCCTAAAAGGTATATTGAGTTTTGTAGAATGGTTGCTATAGCTGCCAGAAAACATGTATATCCAACTTGGGAAGATTAAGACAATGTTTGGATTATGGATTTAGGAAGACATTTTGAAAAGAAAAGGAAAAATGTGTATGAAATGTAACTACATTTCATCCACTTTTTTCTTTTCCCTTTCCAAACTCTAATTCATTCCAAAAAAAAAAAACTCTTCCTAAAACATCTACAAGGTTTCTTATTTTTGGAGAGTAGTTGTGAGCTTTGGAGCATCTGCTAGGGTTTTCCTTTTTCAAGAGCAATATGCTTTTCCACTTAGTAGAGTAAGGGTGAGGATGCCCAAGCCCAAGCTGGTGCTTTTGCTTAGGACTCTACCGTGGGACTTTGCTCTACTTGGTAGAGCCAAGCTCGATAAGATGAGCAATGAAGACTTCACAACAAAAAGTATCTCTGGAGAAACTTCAACTTTATTGTCTTAAGTGGACAGAGCTTCGGCATATCAAACTGCTAATATGGTGGCTAAGGAGGGACTGACAACAGCAGGTAGTGTGGATCATGTTTGGCACCCACCAAATTGGGGTTGGGTTAAGGTTAACTTTGATGGTAATGGTGGGGCACATAGGCTATCTAAATTTGCTGGTGAAAGGTTTTGGTGTTATACTTGGGATGCAATGCCACCTGTGTGGCTGGTGGACATGATGGGGTCTGCCTGTTTAACTCTTTGGTTTTTTGGCTTCTATAAATTAATGGAAATCATGAAGTTCTGGGGAAAAAAAGAAAAAAGGAAAAAAAGGGGGTATTCAAATCAAGGATATAGTTGAAGTGCCAAACATGTTTTAAAAAAATAAAAATAAAAGCAAAAAATATATTTGGTACTTGCGCATGTCTTAAAATTTTATTTTGAAAATAGGTAAAAAGAGGGCGATTGCAAGTGTTGCTAAAAAGAAAAGGTAGTTGAAGACAGTTGCCACCATCAAGAAATGATTTCTCATGTGAAATGGTGACTAGAGATGGCCCCATTGGGAGGCGGCAGTCGAAGATGATTTCTAGATGTGATTATCTATAGCTAGAGGTGGTGGTTTGTCGGTGCCAAAGGTGGTTCCTAGCCACAAGAAATGGTGAACAAAAGTGATGTGCAACAATAATGGTCAAAGAGTGTCGCTGGCGATCGTGGCTAAAGGTGGGGTAGCCCAAGGTGGTTGACGGTTGTGGTGATGACCGGTGGATGATTTGCTGAAAAAGGTGAGAGAGAGAAAGGGAAAAGATTGAAAACTCACTAACATATAAGACCAACCTTCTCTTTTTTTGGTTAAAAATTTTATTAAATATTATAAACGTTTCACATTTTTTTAAAATTGAAAATAGATATCAAACAATTTTTATTTTTTGTTTTTTATTTTTTGTAGACATTAAACAAAGAACTATAAAGATAAACGTTACAGTCCTAAGATTTTAATTCCTCCAAATTAGAGCTTTGTTCACCACTCAACCCTAACACGCCATATAAAAACAGAAAAAGAAAAAGAAAAGATGACGACGGTCATTATGCTTTGTACGGTTTGTTAGAATCAACTGGAATGAAATCGTCATTTCATCATAATGTTATTCTCATATTTGGTTCAATAAAAACTATAAAATATATTTGCAAATAGAAGCAGTATTTATCATTATAAATGAATACTTATTGTTAAGGAATGACCATTTCAAAAGGACAAGACCAATTCTTGGCCAACATGAATATATGATATCCAATATACGGACCATTTTTAAAACCCCAACCTTGAGAACCTTAACAATACACAAAACAATCTGAAAACACTAAAATGAATATAAACCACCATTTGCCTATCTTATTTCTTATACCACATGCTTAAAAGAATTCAAAACACTGCTTGCTAAACCAAAAGAGTATTTTGCCCTTACCAAACATGTACAATTTTTTCTCTATTCTATTATATTTATATACCATATATTCATAAGCATGAAGAGAAAAAAGAGATATTTACTCCACTTCTTCAAAGTTCTTTTTAGAGCTCTAGACAGGATGATCTTGAAAAGGAGCTTGGGGGAGATTAACAGTGTGCGGTTTGATGTCTCTACACCGCATGTAAGTCAAGAACTGACCAGGTAGCTCTTCCAATAGACTCTGAACAATTGATATCTGTCCACCTGCAGAAACACAAAACAAAATTTACAAGATAAAGTGATAATAGAGGCACAACTGGCAAAAGACCAGAAAAGAAATTACTGGTGCATGGCGAAAACCTCCAAAATGAGAGAAAGAAGAAGAAACAGGTTATATTAGATGTTGGTATGGAAACCTAGCATCTTGTGAATTGCACTAAGGTCCCTTTTAGGAACAGAAATGGAGCTGACTTCCGTCATCATCTGAGTTTCAAAACCCAGTTCAGGTTTCTCCTTTTTACTCTTATGTATCTCATATTTTTTTACAAATAATTTACAAAATTACCTTACATTTTAGTTTTTTGAAAGATGAAACAGGTTATATTAGATGTTGGTATGGAAACCTAGCATCTTGTGAATTGCACTAAGGTCCCTTTTAGGAACAGAAATGAAGCTGACTTCGTCATCATCTGAGTTTCAAAACCCAGTTCAGGTTTCTCCTTTTTACTCTTATGTGTCTCATATTTTTTTACAAATAATTTACAAAATTACCTTACATTTTAGTTTTTTGAAAAAATAGGCGCAATACAGTATTTCTATATCTTAAATTACATTTATGGCCTGAAGTACCAACAAAAAAACCATACACCCAAAGTATTTTGCCCACCGGATATGTATTTTGCATACGCTTACCCATACCAGGTAACTACCTTGAACTTGTACAACAATATTTTAGAAGCACTTCATAAACAAAAATCTTGAGAGGGAATGAGAATCTCATTAATAGTAATATCATTGCTACTAATAACAATCTTGTGTCATTGCATCAATGCTATTCAAGTATTGGGTTTCATCAGGAATCCTCAATGAGAATAATAACATTTTAAATATTGTGGGCCCAATAGGAATGTGAGATTTCCCATAGGAAAGTGGGGGAATCAGATTCCTATTAAATTGGGGAGTGTGATACTTGTTGAAATTGATAATTAATAATCATTTTCCCATTTTGATGTGTTCCAAACACTAGAATCATGGGAATCTGGAATAATATTCCCATTCCCCCTCTCAAACTTTGTCATCCAAACCTATCCTAGAGGTGTTCTGAGCTTAACAAAAGAAAATAAATACCAGAAATACTAAACTCTCATGAGCACTAAAAAGCCAATTGTGCTAGATTCCAGTATGTGTCCTGCCCAAATGTGGCCAAAACTCTAAACCAAAATATTCTACAGACTTTGAAATAGTAAATCAAATTAAGCAAGAACTCACCATGTACATCACGCATTGGAACAAACTGTACAATGTCTCGTGTAGCTATCCTCCCTGTAGAACTCTCCAATCGATGTCCATTGTCAGCATCAAGGATCTGTCAAATAATGAGAAATTATACCACACCAAACATTGGAGAGAATTTCTGAGGAACAACATTTCACACTTTCAAGAAACAAGTACGGTACTGTAATTACTAATAGAAAAGAGTCCAGGAGTATGTAATGCAAATAATTTGTTACAGAAAACAAGAATATACCTCCATTTGTTTGAAATCTGCACCACCCACTCCAACAATAAGAATGGATAGGGGTAGATCAGATGCCATTACCAAAGCATCTTTAGTTTCTTGGAGGTCAGTAAGGACTCCATCCTGTAGAATTGTTTCAAAATTATTTTATTGCAAAAATAAAGAATAAGAAAAAAGGAAAAAACAGAATGAAAATTTATCATTCACCGTTATAATAAGCAAGACAAAATACTTGCTGCTGTCCTGGGAGAGCGAACGACCAGCTATTTCGGCAGCAGTGTTGATCACTTGACCGAATAAAGTGGGTCCAGCAAGTGCAACGTTCCTCAAAGCACTACCATAAGCAGCCATGATGCCTTCTACTCCTTCAACCTGTAAAAAGAAGACGGAATTGACCATCACCTCTGTATATATAAACAGCAGGCCTCACAGATTTTTATGATTTCATTATGGACAATAGCATCATTATCCACATAAATCAATAGCTGGGAAGAGAAGTGCGAGTAGCATACTGCCACTGAAAATTAAGATTACCTCCCCATGTGTGGGTCTGGTATTACAACATATGAAACATACAAGTCAAAGAAAAATGAAACAGCATGACAAATCTGCTCGCAATTCAAAAAGTGGTATCCTTTCCTTTAGTCTCTGGCAGCAGATAAAAATGAATATAACATAAGCTTCCCTATTTTTATTTTATTTTATTTTATTTTTGTTTGTATCTACATAGAGTTACAAAAGATAACAATTGTAAGACAATTTATATGCTAAAGTGAGACAATACTAAATTGTGTTCGAAGCTCTTCTATGTCATTAAAAGCATATGTAACAGACAATTTATATGCTAAAGCGAGACATACTAAATTGTGTTTGACACTCTTCCATGTCATTAAAATCATGTATAATAGAATCGACATTAAAAACCTAACGCCTTTCTAAATGAATGCGGTTGAGTATATTGTTGATTTCACCACCACATTATTCTCTTCTCTACATGTTAGGACTTGTAATAGACACTTGTTATGAGAAATTAATTTCTTTTATTATATTTTGTCCAAAATAATTTAATTTATAAAAATAAAAAAACACTAGAGGGGATGGCCTTTTTTTTATTTATTTATCCGATTCCCATATTTCTAAAGTCTGTATAAATGGTCTATGTTAAAGTGATATTCACCAGCACAATAGGTCATAAATATTTCCAATTGAATACACCTCATAAAATACAGGGACAAAAGTTGATGCCATAATATTTTCACTTCAGAGCTGAATAGTTGAGAACTATGTAAGACGCATGATAAGAACGAAAGAAATAATACTCCAATCCACAATCTCTTTGGTAGGCTGGACACACTAAGGATCTACCTTAACATGAAATTAGAGAAGATATCAAAGAATCTTATTGACGTGTGAAATCAGAGAAGATATCAAAAAACCTCATCAACAAACATGAAATTGATTGCCATAACTTTTCTTCTTACAATAGACATCATATTAACTGCTTCATACCTGCTTCATACCTTCTTTGTTCTGGCTATTACTATTAACTTGAAAAATTAAACAACATAATGACTAGTATACTTGTTGGCCTTCAAAAAACATCCCAATTCATTTATTCTTGAATCAGGCAGGCCTCACAGATTTTTATGATTTCATTATGGACAATAGCATCATTATCCACATAAATCAATAGCTGGGAAGAGAAGTGCAAGTAGCATACTGCCACTGAAAATTAAGATTACCTCCCCATGTGTGGGTCTGGTATTACAACATATGAAACATACAAGTCAAAGAAAAATGAAACAGCATGACAAATCTGCTCAACATAGCAATTCAAAAAGTGGTATCCTTTCCTTTAGTCTCTGGCAGCAGATAAAAATGAATATAACATAAGCTTCCCTATTTTTATTTTATTTTTGTTTGTATCTACATAGAGTTACAAAAGATAACAATTGTAAGACAATTTATATGCTAAAGTGAGACAATACTAAATTGTGTTCGAAGCTCTTCTATGTCATTAAAAGCATATGTAACAGACAATTTATATGCTAAAGCGAGACATACTAAATTGTGTTTGACACTCTTCCATGTCATTAAAATCATGTATAATAGAATCGACATTAAAAACCTAACGCCTTTCTAAATGAATGC